GTAATTAACGTTCAATTGGTCTTTGATTTTAAGTATGGACTATATCCATAACATGCTTAGAAAAGCATATTGTTTGTCATGATATCATGAAAAGAATAAAATATCATCATATTGCCCAGCTCTAGGACCACCTCTGACAAGTTATTATTTGGGTCATTCTCAGCACATCAACATAGTAGTAACATAGACTATGTTCACACGGCATGTAAAACTGGCCCAAATCTGATTTTTCTCACCAAATCCGATGTTTTTGTTTGACTGTTCACAATATCTTTTAAATGTGACCTGTATGCGACATCAGTCTGAACAGATCAGCTCCTAAACTGACCTGCATGCGCAAAACAACAATGCTTCATGTTGCTTCACGTGGCTCATCCAGGGGTAAACAATCACAACTGCCAAAGAACACCAGTCACTCCCAGAGCTTTCAGTTTCATCTTCACCAGCATCACAGGAGCGATCATGAAGCTTCATTGACTGACAACTGGGCTCATCACAAAGAATGTGTTTGAGCTCGCCGTAAAAAGGGCGCGGTCACTTTTTGGTTCATGTCCTCGGATTCTTTAAACTGTGCTTTCAGACTTTTAACTGTTCTTTGACGCTGCAGCCTCGTTCTCCTACGGCTGCATTGAGCCATTTCTTTCTAAATCTCTTTGAACATGGAGGGGTTTTGGTTGAGCGTCATCTAATTTTTTGCACAAAAATATCACCCCAAATGTTTATGAGATCTCAGCAGTGTGAAAGTATGACGAATGTCGAGTTGGATTTACGTAAAAGTTGCATGAATTCCGATCTGGCTGTTCAGACCGAGTCGCATTGCCGCATATCGGATACGTATCAGATTTCAGTACCACATATGAAAGCGTCTCAAATCGGAATTGAAAATGTCAGATTCAGTGAGTTTTTGCTGTCCACACTGACACACAGACACACATCTGTGTCACAAATAACGAAAAAGATCGGATTTGGGCCACTTTTACCTGCTGTGTGAACAAAGCCATAGTGGCAGCATTACGGGGTTTTTTTAAAGACTGTGTTCTGTATCTTTCGATTGTCTTTTGCCATTCTTTTCTGTTCCACCACCCAGTATGGAAGAGCAAAACTGACATGAGGCTGACGTTCATCTAGATCTGTTACTGTTAAGGAATATTGACCTTAAATCAGCAACATTAACTTCCTCTAAAATTTCCTTTTTTTTTTTTTGCTGTTCTCTTGCTGTCTTCACTGACCTCCCTGTGCCCTCTTTGTCCTGTGTTGATTTACTGGTTTTCCTGTTGTCCTTTATCATTCCCTTCTCTTCCTATTTGGTACCCTTTTACTGTTTGTCTCTCATCCCCATGAGTCAGAGCTTTTTTTTTATATCAAATTCATTCCTTGTAGGTGTTCTTTGTTTTTCTCTCTCCCTCTCTTTCTATTTCTCTCTCTGACACCCCCCACCTCCCTAAACCCCATAAAGTGCTAAAGGCAGAGGGGCTGCGGTACAGGGGTGAGGCGTGTGGTGGTGAGTCGGGAGGGGGTGTAGTGGTGTTAGGGTGGTGAGGCGAGGCAGTGGGGGGGGGTGTGTAGTGGCGTTAGTGTGAGGAGTGCTGAGCTGAATCCTGACCTCCAGCTGTGCTCTCAAGTGAGGCTAATTTCACCCCTCGCTACGCAGCCGTCTGATCTGCTGCACTCAAAGCCTGCCCAAGCCTGCACGCTAGCACCACTAACAAAGAGAACCATGACCAAGCACACCTCCACTGTCCCTGCCTCACAGATGCACACAGCAGCCAAGACAGGAGCTCCGTTTGTACAGTTTTAGGCCAAAGCCAGATGTGTGGAGAACAATGCTGTTTAGCTGAGGATATTAGGGCTGATATTAGGGTTGAGTTTTATCAACTAGGCCATCATTTTGTGATGTCTGCCCATATTAGGAAATGGGGCGTTCTAAACAGATTTTCTCTACAGGCATGGCATGGAAAATTTAAAATTAGTTCAAAAACTAGAAAGTTCCAAGCCCAATACATTTTGTACTGTGTACATTTCCCCACTAAATGTCACTGGAGCCCAGTTTCTTAAAAGTATCTTAGTGTTAAGATCATCTTAACTGGTAGAGAAAGTGTTCAAAATGATGCTCGCTCTTCCATTTAAGAATATTCTTTGTGCTCGAATGCTTTTGGGAAACCCAGCCAGGATCCAGTGAATAATGCGGAAAAATGCCAACTGAATCATAACGGTTACCACTCAAAACGCTACTTTATTGACTCTGATTGAACTTTAGAAATGGTGTGAATGAATAAATGAATTAATAAATAAATAAACATTGATGCTGTGTGTAACAATTTCATTGAAATGTTGAAATCATCATCATCAGAAAAATTAATCAAATGTTTGAAATAGCATAGTTTGTCCCATTTTAACAGTTTTCCAAAATATTTTATAATGAATGTATTTTTAAATATTTGTATATACTATATTATTTTAAAAAGCATACACACCTTGTTTGAAGACCTAATTAAGTAAAAGAAGTACTGAGATGAGTCTGTATATATTACAATGCCCCCCAACCTAATAATTAGAGAATTGAAGATTACATTGAAGAAAATGTGTAAAGTTACATCCATAAATGAGGCCTTTGTGAAAAATAGAATAGTGATTCATCGATTTATCATAGTATCGGCACAGCTCCAGTGGATACTGAGCTTTCTCCCTGACTGCAGTAAGGTGCAATTACTGATGGACTGACTGTTGTTTTGAATAAGAAGCCAATCAACACAAGACGCTAATCACTAGGTTATGAGTTCCTGTGATCGTGTTCAGGCTTTGATATTGTGTTTTGCTGATGGCTGTGTTAGGTCGAGCCGCTGCTGCCCTTTTAAGCAGACATCACAGAAAGTGCTGTGCCCTCTCTGTTTCCGTGGTAACAAGGCAGAGAGCCTTGTACGTGGCTTGTCCCCTTATCGTGGGACGACACCCCTCTTCCTGCTGCAGGGCAATGCCACCCCCCTCCCAAACGCACTCATATACACACACTTTTACGCATTGCACACAGTCTGTGTGTGTAGATTGTGTCTTGCATGGCTCTGCTTGGCTTTGTGATTTAAAACTAGTATCAATTGCATGTGTTTGCTTTAATGCAGTCTGCTGGGTGGTATTAATAAAATTCAAGCTCATGATATTTTCAAAATATGTTATGGTCAGTGAACCTAGTCTGTCTGAATACTGGTACTCTATGCGAGTGGTTTTCAAATTGTTGGTGACCCATTGGGGTCGTAGGGAGGGGATGAGTGGGTCGTGAGGATGCTGCGTCAATTCATAATTTTGGTTGCTTTTCCACACGAGCAGAGCTGAATGAAGTGCGTTTTAGATCAGAAGGGTGAACTGCGCCATTTCTGCTTTGCAATGCACCGTTTGCAGAGCTCTTGTGTGTTAGCAATGGCCTTTGAGTTCACAAAGTGAAGCTTTCTACATCGAGCTTCATGTGAACGGTGATGGTAGGATTAAGTGGTCAAATCATTCAAAGCTTTGAGTCTATTTTTTGCTGTTTGCAGTGAGCTTCATACCACTAGTGCAAAATACATTTTCCATTTTCTACTTGTGATTGTCGTCATATAAAAATGATGCAAAAACATTCAACTTTGCTGCCATGCTGCATAAAGCAAGCTTGCTTTAGCCTAATTTATGCTGCTGATATTTTGACAAAGCATGCAATAGCCTAACACGAGGGATAACCACAGTTATGCCAAACAATCCTAATGCAAATATATGTGCCTGTTCATTTTTATTGTTGTAATACCAAACAAATGTTCGCATGTATGCCAGTCTTAAACGCTGCACTTACCGCTGGTGGTATCGTGTATCACTGTTAGAACAAAACCTTGTATCTCCAAAATGGTAACTAAGAAGGAAAAAACGACTTGACTTTTAATGGAAGTAAATGGAACCAGACTTTTTTCCAAGTCATTTTGGTCTGTTTCTTTAGGTTAGTTCATCACGAAACTTACACATAATGTAAAGAACAACAGGCATTTTCAAATTATGTCAAAAACTGAAAAAGGTTTCATTCCGACAGCATGGATATCATGATGGAATGGATAACATAAAGTATGTAATAGTGTATGCCTAAGCATCCTTCATTATTTTATCATGGCATGTTATTGTTAATTGAAAGAACTATAATATTGCATAAAAGCAGGCTAAAAGCCCAAGGACAGTAACATTAAATTTGATTGGCATGAAAAAGATGGGGAAACCCTGCTGTATGTGAAAAGCTGCTCTGTGTGTATTATTTTGTACTGTTTTTTGTTGTTTTTTCTCATAAACGTTCAACAGATTTCACCTTAAACAGTATTGAAAAATTAGCCAAACAGAAATCAGGTTTCCGAAAGAAAAATTACTATTTATTTTAGGGATGCATTGATGTGCAAATTGTGTGCCGATGCCAATTTCCAATATTTTCCATGTACATATCTGCACATACTTATGCATAAACATTTATAAAATGTAGCAATTTGGACTAAATCTACCTAGATTAGCATTACAAACAAATATAAATATTTATTTCCAGTAAAATTAATGAAATGCTGAAATTTTAGTAGCGTCTCCTAAATATTCTGCTATTGTGGAGTACAATAAATACGCTCAAATATCATATAGAATTCTGATATTATTCTGATATCATCATACATCTATAATTTATTTCGTTTTTATGTATTTTGAACTGTTCTTTTAAAACTATCTGAAGCACCAAGCAAATAACATACATTAACCTTTTTTTGTCAATGTAACAAAAACTAAAATTCAGTATTATTTTTGTAAAACCAGTATAGATGATATATAACTCAGCACTAAATGCGAACATCACCGCCTTGATCTTCTGGTCTGTGTTTGACCCTGAAAGTGTTATAAGATATATCAGCATAACAGCCCCCATTCAAAGATTACAATGTTATCAGCACATACATGAAAAGCTGCTCCACACACTGAGTGTGCTTGGCCTAACGGGTGTCTTTGTTCTGTTGCAGTGTTCATATCCTGTCTGGGAGGACTTCAGTGCCAAGGCTACCAAGCTGCATGCCCAGCTCCGGTGAGACTACCTTGTGCCTCACATCCGTACCTGTCATTATGAGGACATTATACATGCGTTTATTATTGCAGACTGAGAAAAGCTCATGTCATCATTTCTGTCTTTATTTCTTATACAGAACCACCGTGCTAGCAGCAGTGGCCTTTCTGGATGCCTTTCAGAAGGTGGCAGACATGGCAACCAACACGCGAGGTAGGATGTGGTGTATGGAGGATTTATAAAACGGGATCATGTCATAGGGAACCTCAGTGGAGAGTTTTTTTTTTGTTGGAAAGTATTGTGTGGATGGATCAGCATACAATCCTAGAAATGAAGGTTCCAAAATGCTTTTTGGCTTTGGCAGACAGTTCTAGGTAAAACCTGTAGTGTAGTGATACAGAAAATGCTAAATTTAATTCAGTGCATTACTGTGGTGTCTTACTACAGTACATTTGTCTATACAGCAAAAATAAGGAGCCTTATGTTCATATGTTTATGTTAATATGTTTCTGTTTGCACCATGTGCACAGCTTATATGTATGCACACTATGGGCATTACAGTGCGCATAATTTCAGGTTCAATACAAATTTCATTTCAGTTTTCAATTGAATTAAAAGATTCAATTAGATTTTTCATATTTAATCTGTTAAAATATTAAAAATGATTCTACAGAGCTTGTGTATGCTAGAGAATATCGTCGCTGTCCAATAAAAAAACATGCAACTCCATTTTTTTGTGATTTTTACTTTGCTGCATCATTTGAGCTCAGCAGCTGTCCTTTACATTATGTGATGATTGGATGAATAGAAATGCTTCAAAATTGCTTAGAATTAAATCTCTTTTCATTAACTTACATTGAAAGTAAAGAACGTTTTTGCCCTCTCCTGTAAAGTTACTATTTTGGAGATACTTGTTTTTCTTTGGACAGTGACGATATAATACACAGTATACTTCGCATGAAAGGAAAGGCTGGTTCAAAGCAGAATTAGTTATATGGTGTGAGCTGAACAGAACTCCTAATTTCCATGTCACTCGTTTTGAGTCGTCCCCTTAACAGTGATTGGTCCATGGCATGAGCTTGCTTTTAGCGGTGCTGAGACTTACACTGAGTTTTTTTTAAGCTGTCAGTATTTAAGCAAAAAACGACTTTCCAAAGCAAAACAATGTCTTCTTGCCCTTTTTGGTGGTTTGAGTTCATTTGGTGTGGTGCTTGCTACTTCTTACACCATCATACACCGAGTTCTTTTTTAGCATATTTACTTCACAGCCATTTAGTTCTTTCATTGTTTGAAAAAAATCACAACTTCTTGAATTTGTAGTTGATTTCTAAAAAGTTGATAAAAAGTTTTAGAAAAATCCAGTATGTAACATAAGCCCTTCCCCCCGTATTAGTGATATTAAATTAAATAGATATGTGTAAGTTCCTTTGAACCTGGACGTTCTTTATACTCTCTTTTACATAAAAATGGTTCTTTAAAGCAGTGTTTATCTCAGGGACCCCCCAGACAGTCCATAATTTTGCTCCAACCGTGCAACACACAGTGATAGAACAAAAATGTGGATCATCTTGGAGTTCCTGAGGATCGGTTTGAGAACCACTGCTTTAAAGAACTATCTGTTCGTAGCTTTTTTAGGGAAACAGAAGTGGTTCTTCTATGGAGCTGCACTGAGAAACCCTTTCTGTCGCTGTTATTTTTAAGACTGTAGGGCATGAGAGATGTGTTTAGAAGTCTGTGGATTGTAAATGGAACATTATGCGGTGGTGTCACATAAGATTAGTGCTGCCTTAAATTGCGCTTTTTGGAAAAACTAACTTTACCCCTAATTGTCTTTGGCATCCCCTTCTGAAGATTTTTATCAGCCGTTATAATTATATTCATTGATTAAAAAGTGCAGCCTACTTATTCAAGCCTTGAGGTACACTTGAACTTGGCTTATGCTCATTTAGCTACTAGTGACAAAAAAGGCTATGCTTGTCTTCAAAAAATGGATAAAGTGTATGAAGCGGAACAAAGCCTTAGTTCATAGCTGGAGAGAGAAAGAGAGAGAGAGGGAGAGAGAGAGGGATGGTGGGCGTCAGGTTATTTTTGGACTGCTCGCCAGTCATTGTTATGAGACGGAGTCAAGATCCTTTAGGGAAGCTGTCCAGTGGTAAAGAACACACGTAAAAGGATACTAAAAAAAACACTGTTATGATTACGACCTTAATTGTCTGCCATTTCTCCTTTGTGGGGAGTTCTCTTGTTCTTTTTCTCTCATCTCATTTTAGGCTGCCCCAGGTTATGGTAGTAACCCATCCCGGTGAGTGAGAGTGTGTGTATGCATCTGTGTGTGTATATGAGGCTGAGGAAGTGTGTGAGAGAGATGCAGACAGGCTCAGAGACTTTAATGAGCTGACAGGGTTTTGGAGCTTTCCTGTATGGCCTCTTAAAGCAGCAAGGGGTTCCTCCTACCTCCCCTGCAGACGGGGAGGGGGGTAAGGGAACTGTAGATGGAGGGAAAGAAGAAAGACGGGGGTATTAAAGTGATTTTGATAGCAAAAAAAATCACATGTACACAGTTTTCTTCTTACTCCAAGTGTAGTCATTCAGCAAAGGCGTTTACATATATATATATATATATATATATATATATATATGATTTTTGTTAATGTAGTGGTGGCACTACAGCCCTGTCTTACTGACTGTAAATAAAGAAACCAGAAACCACACTGGTGACCAGCACGGCTGCTGCTGCCCTATACCTGCTTAAAAAAGACATTGCAAAGCAAAAAAGATATCTTTTGGAGCCAGAAAGACATGCTATTTTGAGTTTTGACTAATTTTGGTAAGAGTTTATGAACGGATAGCCGCAAAAGCAATCACAAAAGGGAAAAAAAAACTTACGCCAAAATTAGTAGAGGGCTGTAGGCTTACTTTCAAATGAGCAATGTTAAATGCTGATAAGGACTCATTTTTCTGTTTTCTATTCAGTGGATGATGTACTGTCATGTTAGTTTGTCATAAATGTATTATGTATGGAAAAAATACATATATTCTGTCACATTCTAAAATCCTGGTAATGTGTAAGTGTCAATTAATCATACATTTTTGCTGTCTTCCTGTTAACTGAGCACATAGATACTACTCCTTACTGTGATTGGTCCAAACATTACATTGTCACTGAATAGAGGCTTTTAGGAGATTTTGACAGAATTTGTGTTCAGCACTGATTCAGTTTTTGAGCCTCCAATTAGTAGAAAAGGCATTTAGAGCCTATTGAAACACTGAATTTGAGTCAGATGAAAAAAAATAATATAGTAGAGCTCAAAGCCAATTTGCAAAATTTGCCGAATAGAACATTTCAGGTATTAGTTATACTGTATTGTCAGAATTTTTATCTAGAAGTATGATGCTGCCATGATGTTGCTGGGTTGCACTAATACTAGACAGATCCAAATCAAATCAAACTTGTGTGATTGCTGGTAGTAGAATGTTCTCCCTCATTCAGTCTGGTTCATTGGGCTTGCCAGTTCTTTTTTCTGGACATCAGCATGTTGCAGCTGCTTTAGAATGTTTGGTCAATGTTCACAGCTCTTAAGCTTGCTGGTTTATAATGCGCATGGCTTGTTGGGGTTTTTAATATTGATATGATATAATAGATTGTACTTTATGGCATTTCTGCTTTTGCTGTGATACTAATAATAGTCAAATTTCATTGTAATTGGTATCAACTACCAAAATGTTAGTATAGTGACAACTCTAGTCTTTAGTTTTGCACTGGAACTATAACGCTAATGTAGCTAACAAGTAATATAAATGTATGACTTTGAATTAGCATTGAGCAAACTGCGTGCCTTATCATCACACAGTTACCTCAAACTGTGTCAAAGTTGTTAAGTAATCATCATTGTGTGATATACTGTTAAAAAAAGTATGTTGGTGGTAGGAGCTATTTTGAAGCCTGATTTTTTTGCCAGACTATTGCTTTAACCAGCTAAGCATGTAGATGGGTATAGGCTATTGGCTCTTATTGCAAACCGAGAGTAATCGTGCTGACCAGGATGGAGTTAGGTCACTGAATTAGATGAGAGAAGCCTGTCTTTGTGTGCTCTTGAGGACAGCTAGCTCAGGAATGACTGGGTTGGCTCCATCAAGGCTGTCCACAAGCATGACAGAGAAGACATTTAACAGTGCTCTATAGAAAGAGTCCATTGGCTGGCGACTTCTGTGATGTTGACCGCTCAGGCAGCAGATGGGACTGTCGCAGATGCTCGCTGTGATTCCAGCAGATCTGTGCGCAGACAGTGTTCACAGCTGGTCTCCTGAATGTAGGTCAGGGACATGTCTACAAAGTATAGGTTATTAATGGTTTTTCAGTTATTCCTGTGTTTGAAAATTAAAAAAAAACTGTTTTATCAATGTTAAACTTTTAAATGTTTACCATGAAAAGCTCGCTGCTTTTCCTGGTAACCACATAAAAATTTTATTTAACAGAGGATGTATTGCTCTGCAAAAACTTTAGCTAATATGAACAGCAATATTAGGGAAAATGTACAAATAAACCACATTTATTTGATGTCAATTTTTAAGTTATTATGGGAAAATACAAAGTAGAAATTTTGTGAATTTAGCACGCCCTACGCTGCTGGTCCACACAGAGCGCTGTACTATCACTCTGCTCAAATGGCATTTTCCAATAAAAGGCCTGGACTGAATCATTTTGAGTTGTGGTTCATCTCTGACTCAGATGGGAGCCCTAGGGCTGGCCCAGACCTCATCTCAGGCTTAGAATGGGCTGAAGACAGATGAGCTGTTGTTCTCTCGCTGCCATGTACTTTCCCAGATAGCTCTTAGAGGTCTAAGTGGGCAAGAAACTGCATGACTTAACACGAATTTTTACACTCTGATGTTCCAGTGATCTCAGCTTTACTTGCAGTACATTATCAAATGCCCCTTTTTCAATCAGCTCCAGCAGATCTCCTTTGGTGCATTTGCGTTGGTGCGAATGGCTCTGTCGCTCTCATGCCAAATGCGGCATGGGGGCTGTAGCCTGCCTGTTGGTCATGTGACCTGATTGATGAGCGTGCTGGACGCCAAAGGACAAGCCCTCGCCAACCGTCCACACACCTCACAAACCTGCCCGGGAACAACATCAGAGGGAGAGTGAGAGAGGCGGTTCGGCTTGGGATCAAACAGTCTGGAGTATACCACAGGGCAGCTGGAGGGGATAG